AAGACTGGGATCTTATCTGCATTGGTAGAAAAGACTGGGCTCTCATCTGCATTGGTAGATAAGACTGGGCTCTCATCTGTATTGGTAGAAAAGACTGGGCTCTCATCTGCATTGGTAGATAAGACTGGGATCTCGTCTGCATTGGTAGAAAAGACTGGGATCTCATCTGCATTGGTAGAAAAGACTGGGCTCTCATCTACATTGGTATATATCTATAGGCAAAATTATTATGTTGCACGTTTTAGTGAATTGTTTTAGTAAATCTCCAGCTGTAGGAATGGTAATGATTCTTTTTCACAAAAGTGAAAAAGAACAAAACTGACAGCAGCACCTATGCTCTAAATGCTGTACTGTAAAGACTGTCAAATAACATAACACAAATTCTATTTATGTGCACCTCAGGAATAAGCGTTGAGGCACTGGTGTGTTGGATTCCACCACAGAGATGGCACTGCTCCCTCCTAGTGGCAGCAGAAAAGCACTGGTGATCTGTTTCATGGAGCCAGTGTGTAGGCTTATTGCACAGCCTGTTCACACCGAGCCCTGCTGACCCTGCAGAGCCGTGTCTCCACACTTTGAGTCGTCAGTCACCGATGGTCGGCTGGTGAAAATCTCAATCTGTGTCGAGCAGATTGTCTTTACAGTGCTGAGGCTGCACGAGGTTTTCCTGTTTACGATAATCCATCGTTATTTAAAGGCAACGCAGATTTGGGGAAAGCAGTTGTTACCAGTTCTGAACTATGCGAGTTTGTCTGTAGATGAACTGTAGGCACTTCTTGAGGCTTGTGGCATTTCTTGCTCTGTGTGGGGAAATGCCTGCTGATAAAATGCATGAAGGACTTTGTTAATGACCTCACTCTTCTTTTCCCTCGTTGCTCCCTGCCGGACTTTGGTGGACAGAAGAGCCAGAGCTGGTACAATGTAAGTAGCCCATGTGCCTCTCCATGTCCGTGCCTGTCAGTGGTGCTGGTCAGCGTGAATCAAGCCGCCTTCCGTGCATCTCTATGGCTCCTTGTCTCAAGCCAGTGGCTAACCTGTGAGCTGTAGCTGACCCCTTTGCCCTGGAAAATTGAAACATAAACAGCACTGTGAGATTTCATTCCAGGGCTGCTTAACCGGACCATTGGCACCTGTCTGGGGATGTTACTGAGGTTAAATTATGGTATCTGGGGGTTGGCTTGCTGCATGGGGCTAGTGAGGTTGTGCTCCAATCAAATTGCCTCTTTCATAAAACTCCGCCCATCCCCATAGAGCGGAGAGGCGCACACTGTCTCTGCAAGTCGCTCTATGTACTTTCCTGAAATCTTATTTGTCTCTAGCTGGGTTGCCGTGTTCCAAATCAAGATAACTTACCACTGACCCTAGAAAAGGGTTCGTGCCTTGGTTCTAAACACGAGTCACGTTCGGTAGTACTCACACCTCCGTATGTCTATCTCTCAGCGGCAAGGCATTTTACAATATGGTTTTAATACGGCATATTTTTGTTTGTTCCAGATGGTACATTTTTCAGTCTCACAGAAATGTTGTATTCTGTCCAGGAAAGGCTGCACACTGAGTATCATGACTACAGACAAGCAGGATGCTGGCACTTAGGGGTGTTGCGTTCTGGGGAAATGTTTATCTCGTCTGCCTTCACATGAAATATGGCAACTTCTGATGCAAGGATCGCTGGACTGTTCTGTCCTGTGACTGCTTGGGTCCCAACGGCTTCTCAAGACAATACTGTGTTCAGAATTCCCCCTCTGTCCATGCCCCTCCCTCCCCAGAGCCTGGCCCCTCCCCTCTCTGTCCACGCCCCTCCCTCCCCAGAGCCTGGCCCCTCCCCTCTCTGTCCATGCCCTTCCCTCCCCAGAGCCTGGCCCCTCCCCTCTCTGTCCATGTCCCTCCCCTCTCTGTCCCTGGCCCCTCCCCTCTCTGTCCATGCCCTTCCCTCCCCAGAGCCTGGCCCCTCCCTTCTCTGTCCATGCCCCTCCTCTCTCTGTCCCTGTCCCTCCCCTCTCTGTCCATGCCCCTCCCCTCTCTGTCCCTGCCCTTCCCTCCCCAGAGCCTGGCCTTCTCTGTCCCTGTCCCTCCCCTCTCTGTCCATGCCCCTCCCCTCTCTGTCCCTGCCCTTCCCTCCCCAGAGCCTGGCCCCTCCCCTCTCTGTCCCTGTCCTTCCCTCCCCAGAGCCTGGCCCCT